GTGAGGTTATCCCTAAGCAAAGGATGGTGGCTCGGCAGAATTATGCAGCAAGAGGCTGAAGACGCAGTGGTCTTCGCCAAAAGGAGACCAAAGAAGTGGGTCACAGATGGAGAGGCGACTCCTCTGAGATTTTGCTCAATGTAAAACAGAAACACACTTCATTAGACCTGAGTTGGTACAGGAGCAGTGTGACAGAGCTAAATTAAAAAAAAAAAAATCTTAAAATATGTGGGGCAGGCAGAATGATGTGATGAGCCACTGATCGACGTCACCAACGAACAGCATGGCACTGTGTTGAGATTTTTTTTTAAATGTTTGAAATGTTGGGCCAAATGGAGGAAGAATCAGAGTGTGGGTCACGTTCATACTTTGGTACGAGGGTCTGCCCTACATCATGCGGATGGATGGACTAATGTGGTTCAGTAGTGCACCGGCTCAGAGCTCACCCACATAAAACAGCTCTGTGAAAAGTGCGCATTGCCTGCGCAATTTGGCTCCTGGTCTCACCAATGTGGGGCATCCCCTCTGCTGCTCCAACTGTGGACCAAAACGCTGATTGGAGCCTCACAGGCAGCAGACAGAGGGGAGGAAAAGAAACAGCCAACTGAGCCTAATAATCTTCATTATCTTATCAGACAGCTGTGCACCTGCGCCTGTTACGCAACACCAGAGCCTAGTTCGAATCAAGCCACAAATCCCAGCAAAAATCAAACTCACACCTTTCAGCCAAACTGAGCTTTTTATTTCAATCAACATAAGCCAAACCTGGGGCTTTTCACGTCGAGCTCACCTGCCTACTTCTGAGTTGCCCCCTTCGTGACCGTGGACGTGGCGTGGACAGTCATGTTGACTCTCTTACTCACCTGCCCATTTGCCCAGCGTCGGAGACAGCAGCTTCCCATTCCCCAAGACCCAGATCCTGAAGCCTGAGAACAGCCTGTAGAGCAGCCACAGCACCAGAGAGGCCACGGCCAAAGCACCGACCCAGAAGAGAGGCGTCTCGGCCCTGCGCAACGTCTCCTCAATTTTCGTCCACTCCATTTCAGCAGCAGCTCCCGTTGACTTCGGTGTGTATGTGTGTGTGTGAACACCCGAATTTTAGGCAATGTGCTCTAATTTCTCTGCCACAACGTGAGATAGAGAGAGAGAGAGAGTCCCTTTATAAGGAAGTTGTATCACACACACTCCCCCAACACTTGTCTAGCCTAATTCACTGCGCACCGCCCACATCTGCTCCCACTGGCTGCGTCCGGGCCGCCGCGCCACGCGCGTTGGTGCATTTGCACGTCAATCAAACCGAGAGCTTCCTCCATTCATTCGAGTTTCTGTATGAAGGGAGACCGCGGTGAGAGCCGATTGGACGAGCATTACAGCAGCTCCCATCCACACTCTGCCATTGGCTCTCTCCAGAACAGGTTTGTCAGTTTCACTCAGGATTATGAAACCCTCCAAACCCACGCTTTCGGGAAAAAAACCTGCCCATACCACTTTATGAATGAAAGGATGCTATCATTGGCCAAACATGTGCGCCTCCTCCCGCCCCTTTGGAGAACGTTTGGCTAAAGCGGTGCCAGTCTGTGAGACCAGTCTCTGCTCCCACCTAGACATGAGTCACTCGTCTATTTTAGGTATTCAAACTGCATCACTCTGACGACGAGCTGCACAGATGTGCAGCCGTGCACCTGCTCTGCGCCACGTGTTTGTTAGTCTTCAGGTTCTGCAGTGTGATCGAGAACAGGTTCACAGCAGCCAGGAGAGAGAAAAGCAAACAACTACAACCCCCAGTATAAACTTGGCTGCCAGAATCTCGCGAGAGTTGCAATGTTTCGTGGCTGTAATTCCTCTCTCCAAAAATATTGAGATGGGGAAAGAGCTGAGTGTTGGAGTGCGTTACATAAACACTGAGTCAGACGTGTGTGACATTCCGGAGCTTTATTTCACTGATTTCTCTGATGAATAAATTCTGTACATACAGATATCAGTAGGTCACAGTAATGGTACAGAAACAGTCAGCTGTGAGTGTGTGTTTCATTCTCAGTTTTGGGAGAGTCCATCACACCAGCTCCTCTGCCGCCATGCCTGCTCTCTCTCTCTCTCTCTCTCTCTCTCTCTCTCACACACACACACACACACACTCACTCACACACACACCTTCAAACTGAACATGAGTTTCTGACCAACAGGGACAGAGAGACACTGGACAGAGGCTGTCATGTACTCAGCAGGAGTCAGAGACTATAAAACACGGTCCACGTGAGGACTTCCTTCATGCAGCTGCTCACATTCTCCGACACAAGAGGAGGAATGGAGGTCTGCGAGACGGCACCGAGGGGAGAGAGGGGAGAGAGGAGAGAGGAGAGGAGAGAGGAGAGAGAGGAGCAGAAACTATACCGAATCACTGTCTAACAAAGTGTCAACTCTAACAGAAATCAGAGAAGCAGACATGCTACAAAGTACAACATCTGCACAGTGTAAAATGCACAAAGAAAATGCTAGAATATTAAAGTAGAAAAAAACGGTACATCCATCTGTATAGTACAATATAATATAAGTCAAACCACAAAATAAAGTATACACAAAAGTACAATGGAAATTATATACAACATATAATTGTTTCAGACTCTGGTTAGGAATATATATCATTTAAAAATTTAAAACCCTAATGTACAATTAAACAGAACACACACACACACACACACTATCGTACATCGTCGAGTTCATCTTCCATCAGCTGAAAACAACATAGATATTGTGGGTTTAGTGCTGTGTTACTTCATGTCTGACCTGCCGGAGTTTTACTAAATAAAAATAGTCTCTTCTTTTCTCTTAAGCCTCTATTAAACGTCCAACAAAACATCACAAAAATATCAACATGTTTTAGATTTGATTTGATTTGTTTAAGATGATTAAAAAAACGAGCAGAAACACAAACAAATCTCTAACTCTGTAAATCTATTTTTGTACAAACACGACCACAGCTCTGCAGCCACAGAGTCCACGTGTCCACAGCGAATCTTCAATATATATAAACCAACAGCAAACCCATTCTACACGAACTATTCTATACACATGACAACTTAAACACAAGCCTCTTCAACCTGAAATGACAACTTAAACACACACTGGCACGAACTTCACTAAAACTTAAACACAAGCCTCTTCAACCTGAACGTTTTATTCCAAAACTGTTGACTTTTTAAACGTACAAAACAGAAAGTGCATCAAACACAATCTCCTCTCAGCCTCATCTCAACAAGAGGTTTTTTTTTTTTTGTGATCTGACAAACTTTGAATTTTCCCGGACAATCGAGCAAAACTCTTCAAATTTCACTAAAGTCTGATTTCATTTGCCTACATTGTTCAACAAACCACTTTTTTCCAGGTGTCAGTTTGACTCGTTTCTGTTTTGTTCACCACTCCCAGTATCGATAGTGCTTAACGACTCGTTTCTGTTTTGTGTGTCGATGAAGTAAATACACCACTCCCAGTATCGATAGTGCTTAAGAACACGAACACACACGAGCGTGCACGAACAAACACACGCACACAAACACACACCGAGTCAGAAAGTAACTTGTTTGTTACGTCATTGTTTTTTTTTCTAGCCATTGAAAACACTGTCAACGATTTTTAAATCAATTAAAATCACGATATAAAGACCGGGTTTTTCGATAACAATACGTCAAAAAATAGGTTTTAAAATGTTATTATTTTCTACCACCTTCAGTTTACAGTTCAGTTTTGACTGTAACCACCAGCACAAACGCACTGATTTCCGAGTGAGTGAAACATTTCTACTGAATCACAAACTTTGTCAGATTTGGAAACTTTTTCGTTAGCCTTCACGCTCTGCCTCTGGAGTGTCGCTGTCCACTCATGCCTTGCTGAAACGCACCGGGAATCGAACAGCGACGCAGACAACCCGCATCCAACACACACTAATACACACACACACACAATGAAAAGCATGAGTGACGGACCTGTGCCCTTCACACAGGTTTTAACAGGTGTCCCAGAGCAGTCGGACATCGAGCTGAGCTGTGGTCTGTGTACACGGCAGACCAACACACCGTGACTGTCCACACAGTAGACCGAACGTCACCTTACACTTCAAACTAGATTCTTCTCTGGTACATGTACAAATCCATACACATTCAAAGTCTCTGGTTCTAATCCCCTCTTCACTGACACGTCCATTTAACTACCGAGAAAATACAACCATTCAAAGGTTGAGACAACAACTAACAACAATCTGAATGGAGGGAGAAACACGAGCAGGACGAGTTCCTTATGACCAGACAAAACGATATAAAGAATATATCAGTACAAACACATTCCATCTGAAAAGTCCCTTCTATAAAAGTCTCAAATCGTCACACGTTTGTAAATTTCACGTGTCAAACACAACCTCCAAATTATAACTGACGTAACAGCTGATGAAGACCAACAGAAACTACTGACAAACTACAGCTGCATCTGAGGAAATACAGGAAAGAAAAGTAGATTTTCATTTTAATAAACTATATATATATATATAATAAAAACAATGTATTATATATACAATACATAAACAATATATGTATATATATTTTTATACATATATACTGTATATATATAGTTTGTCAGTTATGTCAGTTATAATATATATATACATATATATGTACACTTATACAGAGAGACAGCAGTTCATTTTAAAATATAAATTTGACAACAACACACTTCAACATTGAATTTCTTTCATAAATATTGAAGAGAAAACTGAATCAGTGGCTGTTCCAACTTGAGCAGCTCCAGTTAGATTTATTTACAATTTTATTTGTGATAACTGCATTTAGAATGATAATTTTGAATTATTACTATCACATTTTAAATGCAGAAAAAAAATGATGGTAAATTCTAAACGTATTATTCTCTGATTTAGTTAAAAACTAGGTTTGATGTGTGTAGGGTTTTCTGTGTAATATTTGTGTAAACATTCACTCATTGTTACCTGTGTGTGAATCTTTGGCAGTTCGTTACATCTGTGGTCTCTGTCACTTGATTACGTTCATGTAGTTTTTCCTGGAAGATAAAAAAAAATAGACCAAAAAAAGATAATTAAAAGCTTAAAATGTCACAAATGCAACACAGAAAGGCCAGAAACACACACACACACACACACACACACACACACTCCAACTCATCCTGACTCAGCTCACGCTGTCCTCCGTCACTTTGTTCATATCTCCTTTTTCTCTCACACACACACACAGCTATGGAGAAACCCACACACCCACACACACACGTAATTCAAACTAAAATACCCCCCCCCACACACACACACGTAATTCAAACTAAAATAAAACATTTGAACTTAAACCTGTTTGATGATTTGTTTGTCTGATGGAGACGTTCATGTCAACAGTCAAATGTCTGTGAACATCTACAGGACTCTTTGTCTATTTTCATTTTCTGAAACACACACACACACACACACACACAGACATATGACATTGTCAGAAATTGCATTATTTTATTTTCTGTGATTTAAAAAAGTAAAACAGTCAGAACTCATATTATCATAATAATTATGATAATATTATTATCATAATAATAAATATATGATCATCTACAACTGGACGTGAATCATTAAAAAAACAAACAAATTCTCACCTGTTTCATTTGAACTCAAACGGTTAAACGTGAAAATAGGGTTTTTATGGTAAAACTGTGTGTATGATTACATTTCCATAGTAAAAAATATGTATAAACACACACTCACACACACACACTCTCTCTCTCACACACACACACAGATATAGTGCAGAGCTGATAAACTTCCATGTAAATGGACAAAAACTTCTGCTTTTGTCGTTCTAACAAAACGACACATTTTTAATGGCCGTGGCGTGTGTCGACCAGAGGAGTGTGAGGGAGTTCTGGGGGTTTTGGCAGCCGGGGCGTTTAAGGTGGAGACGTTAACGTTGCCCTTCTCCCAGTGACTGTAACGACTGTAACGACTGACACTGAGTGTCAGTGATGTTTACACCACCATCAGTGTTTGATGTTATTTATTGATGCAGTGACTGGATATGACACTGGTGTCTGTGACGTATTTGAATCAAATTTGACCACAGCAGTTAGAAATTCTCTTTAGTTTTGGTAAAAAACAAAACAAAACATGTCATTCAGCTGATCTGAGAACAGCAAATAAATATGAATGCATGTTTGCTTTATAACATTTCATATAGCAAAAATTCTTAAAGGTAAAACTAAATCCATGACATGAACAGGGACCAAGTTATTATGTACGACATTAAACACTTTATATACTTTTCCCTATTTTTATTATTTATTTTATTTTATTTATATTATTTTATTTTTTAGTCTTGTTCAGATGTAACTTCACCTTCAGGTTAAATGAGGATATCTGTGTAATTGTATTGTTTTTTATTATTAGAAACATTTCTCTGTACAAAATCATTCAGTCTTATTGATCAACATTATGATTCCAAACGTTCAGTAAAAGTTCTGTCAAAGATTCTGACATTTCTGTAGCTTCTCTGGACACCGTTTCACAGTCGGCTTCAACCAATCACAGCCCAGCTCTCAGTGACTGTGAGTAACTGTAGCTACTCAACCTACAGGTCTGATCTGTAACCATGTTAGTGACTCTGGGACAGAGAGTCACAGAGAAGCTGACAAACAAGGTCTGTCGATGTTCTTTCACCAAAGTTTACGTTTACTTCACGGAAAAAAAGTGATTTAATTAGTTCAAATTTTCTTCCATCACTTATTTTGCCGCTAAACAGTTTTTCTGACAGAAAAAAAAAACATTTTTTAAACCGGTCTCTAGATCCAACCTCCAGAGTTGGCGACGTGTGGTGTGTCAGGACACGACATCTCCTGCTGTCATGGTTGGAACAGAAACCTGCTGCTCTGATACTTTTTTTTGGGAAGCCACACCTCCAGGAACACAGACCGAGGCCAGACACTCCTGTCCTCAAACACATCTCTCCACTATTTCATTTTTAACTGATTTGGGTTAAAATGGCTTTTTTTTTTACACTTTTTTAATTTTATTACAGTGGTGCCATCGTGTAGCGGTCAGCACGCCTGCCTTACACATCTGCTTTACACAGAGAGTTCTGGGTTTCACCATCCCTAACGGTGCCTCCAGTGGCGGCCTGGGAATCGCAAAGACACACTGTGGATTTTTTTTTTTTTAACACTAGAAAATGTGACGAAAAACAGTTGGACACCTCTGCTGCCTCACTTCAGGTTGCACCAAGCTGGTCTACTCATCACTCCTCTAAGGTTGCTCCCAATCCATGTTGAACCACCGCCTGGTCACGTTGTCCTGCTACTGAATCACTGCCCTATGGCGTTTACAGCATCATTTTGAACGGTGTTTCAGTCTGTTATAATGTTGTTTATCAACAGCTGCTCCAGTGAAGGCACCTCTGGGTCATGTGGTCTGTAGACTGATGACCGACTACAGCACCTTGTTTTAGAAACATCTCACCTGGTTCAAATGTCCATAGAGTGGCTGCAATGAACCATCATACTGTATCACAATCAGAAAATCCTGGACAATGTTCTGTAAACGGTCACATTCTAACACTTTAAATGGGTTTCGTTACCCATGTGCTAACAAAAGTCCCTGTGACCGTCTGTCAAAGTCATCAAACCAGTCCTATTTAGAGGGAAAACACAGCTTTACTGCGTTTCTACTGCCCCTCGACTCTTCACACTCTATTTTAAATTCTTATTAATTTCCTTCTGTGTAAAAATAAACCTGGTTGATGCAACATTAAGGTGAATACAGTGAAGTGTGTTTTTAAAATGTGTACTTTTTCATTTACCTTCACAGACTCTCTCTCTGGACGGACGTTTTTACTGAGTCTCCTCTCACCTTATCACCGTCATCATTTTGGCCCTGTGAAGACAAAGACATCAAAGTTGTAGAAGGAAATACTTCACACACAGAGTCATGGCACATTAGGACAGTAACACAGAGAGGAAACGTCTCCTGTCCTCAAAACTCCAGAGACAAAGGTAAACACCAGGGTCTAAATTTGTTTCTCTTTAAACACCCGGACACTTCGTTTTCTGGGGTTTTTTTTCCTCACATTTGATTCTGTCATTACGCTGCTGTAGACGTCACTGAGATCCAACAGTTTATGTGTGTGTGTGTGTGTGTGTGTGTGTGTTTACATTTTTATCATACGTTTTTGAACTGTATTTTTTTTTTTGCAGAGAGAAATAAGTAATAAACAACGACAGGTATTTTTTTGGGCAGAACAATAACTAAGTTATTAATTTATCCTCCATCATCAATGTTTATTTTATTTTTAACTGTGTGTTTTCATATGTCTGGGTTTACATTTCCTTCTTTTAGTGCATTTATATATATATATATATATATATATATATATATATATACATATAATTTTTTAAGGACATTTTGGGCTTTTTTATATATAAAAAGAATAATTTCGAACCTTCAACCCACAGGAACAGAAGCATATGGACAAATACTTATTTGACAAAAAAACATTCAAATTGTTTACCTAAAGCAGTGTTTCCTAACATACGACCAATATTTAAAATCTTACATGATGAGTAGAGTCAGGGTGCATTTTAATGTCACACATACTGGACCATTCCTGTGATTTATATGAAGACAATGAAGTCATTCCGTGGTTGGAAACAGTGCACATTTATGAACACATTTAGGACAAACGTATATTTGAGTTCAGGTTTTTTATTCTGGAGCAGCAGTTGTCATCTGTGAGTGTGTGTCAGGGTTGTGTTTCTCAGAGCAGCATCTCTGGAGCTCTGAGCCTTCAGCTGTTAGTCAGCCATTTTCTGCTGCTGACAGGAGGAGCTTTTCACTGAGACATCAGAACACAGATTTAAGTAAAAAAAATACAGACACACAAACTGCACAAAGTGAAAAAAATACAGACACACAAACTGCACATGTGGCTGCAGTGAGAAGAAGAAGAAGAGGAAGAAGAAGAGGAAGAAGAAGTCTGAGGACAGGAGCAGAGGTTTCTGTCTGTCAGAGAATCTGGCTGCCATTATACAGTGAGTGGTCAGAACAAAATGGCTGAAGTGCATCTTCATGGAGGAGTGTGTGTTTTCACCAGCCTGTGTTGGAGCTTCCTGAGAGGAAACATCAATGTGGAACTGATGTGATGTTCATGGATTTACAGTTCAGGCCAGAAGACCATGTTGGAGAAGGTGTTTAAATATTTCATGAGACACAGTGTTGGGGTACTTTAGTATAATCATATGTAAATCTATAAACACATCTGTCTCAGGATCCTTGTTATGAGGTGAAATAAAAAAAAATTAAACTAAAAGAAAATAAATAAATGAAGAATTGTTTCCAACACTGAGGCTTTTCCTGTTTTTAATGGCGACAGAGCACGGCTCCTCATGGAAGACTGGAAAAGCTGTGGCTAAAATATCACGTTTGCTTTTATTAATATTTCAAGAAACACAATAAAAGTTAAACACCAGTGTCTGATTTATTTGGCTGGAATCTATTAAGATTTTAGTTTAGGTTCAGTGAGAGAGAAAAGGAAAAGTTTGAAAAATGTCCATTAAAAGTTCAGATTTTTTCTAACGTTTTAATATGAATGATGTAAATATTTTCAATATGTTCTTAAATGACTAAGAACATTTACAAAATATCACACACACACACACACACACACGTATAGTGAAACATAAGTGTGAGGAGGAATCAACAAAAAGACACCTCTGTGTAGAGACTGTATCTTTGTTTAAAGTTCATTTAAATTATTCTTCATCAAAATAACAATGAACAAATTTCCATAGAGAAAAAAAATTCAATGAATGAATAAATAATAAAATAAAACTGAGGGAAACTGTGAAACTAGTGAGAATGACAGTGAAACCTGCTTTTGTTCTGAATTAAATTAAAAAAATATAAATAAAAGTTAAATTAAAACTATTTAAAAGATGCACAGTTAACATTTGAAATAAAATTTCTGGCAAAAAATGTGAAAGTGTTGAATTTGTGTTAGTTGAAAAGTTAAAATACCTCAAATTTAAAGTCAAAACCTTAGGCTTTAAAAAGTGAACCAATACTGTGTAAGGTCCCACTCACAAATCTGTTTAATTTAAGGTCAATCTAATCTGGAGACACACACACATAAAAGATATGAAAAGAAACAGAAAGAGAACAGTGACAGCTCTCCCTTAAATCTGCTCCTCACATCAAACCAAAAAGCCAGAAATATTTAAAAAAGACAGGTGTCGTGAAGGGAAACCCGTCGAGTGTGTGTTTGTGTTTACAACATCCAGGTAAGTGTCAGTAATATTGATATGTAGTAATAACAACAATATAAACAAATAACAAACTGATGCTGTAAAATGTAAAGAAAAAAAAAGGTCAAAAACATCAAGAGGAAAAAAATGTTTTCATAAATATTTAATTTTTCTTTTTACCTTTGCACAAAAACCTGTGGTTGTTTAAAAGAGAAATAAATAACAACGAGGTTTGACCTCAACACAGCAAAAACATGCGTCGACTGTAATGAATCACACACACACACACACACACACACACACTGTCCTGAAGCACTGTTAGGAAGGAGAGCATATGAAGACTAAGTACAACACACTCAAAGTTACAGCAAAAAAAACAAAAACAAATCAAAAATCAAAACTACAAATCTGTACATTTTTAAGGATGTTTTATAAAACATCAACAACCTTAAACAGAAGAAATAAGAAACAAATCAAATACATGAAGTCAATGATTTGTTTTAAATTGTTATTAAAAGTGTTTTGCAATTTTGTTGGTATTTGGTTGAAAAGGTGTTTCTACAGCATCAGGTTTCTGAAGTATTGAAAATACTGACACTGCACATCACTGTACACAACAAAATGTGACGTGTGGATGACAGAAAAACAAACTCACCTGGTGATCAGGACAAATCAAAATAAGAAATAATAAAAATGAAGGGAAATGTTTGGGTCTAAATCTCGAGATCAGAATTCTGATGTTTTTTTAATAACAAATATTAAATATAGTCTAGTGACTGATTCAAAAGTGAGTCCTGAATATCTGACTTGGAGAACATTATAAGAGTCACTCGTCTGTTAATGTGACTCCGACTCTGATGATGCTGATGTTCAACTCTGTTTCAGGGAAATGAACGTTCATCAATGAACATCTTCAGGTTTCTGTGATGCTAAAATGATCTGTGTGTGTTGGTCTTTGGATTTAAGTGACATGACAGAACACACTCCTGAGGTCGAACGACCGCCTGGTTATGGCCCGTCTACGGCACCAAACTTCAGGGAAAGTTTCTTAACAACTCAAAGATCAACAACAAATCTTCAAATCTGTTCTGATCTTTTTCAGCACAGTCACCATCTTCTCCTCCTCCTGCTCCTCCTGCTCCTCCTCTCAGCAGCCACATTCATTAACTAATGTTTCTGTGACTCACAGGAAATCAAATAATACACTTAAAAACCTTTAACACTTATTTACAAATGTTAAGTGTTTTTTCCTTTGTAACGTCTTTTCTTTACAGTGTTTTCTAAACGTTTCCTGTAGTTGATCCTCCAAAGTCAACACATTCTCAGCTGTTACTTCAAAACTGTACTTTACTCTACACATTCTCACTGAACAAAGACAATGAAATGGAAATTCAGGAAATAAGGACATTTAAAAAATTTTAAGGGTTTGAATAATTCAAATTTAAAGGTTGGAAGTTGTCTTTCTCAGACAGGTCTCTCTTCAAAAACCTCAAAAAAATCTCAATGTTTGCTAAAAAAAGAAAAATAGGTCAAAACCATTTTTAAAAACGTCTGCCCAGACGAGGTTATTTTGCATTCATGAAAACACAAAATAAAATGATAAGTGCAACAACAAGTAAAAAAAAAAAAAGGTTATAACTTCCTAAAATTTGAAGGTGAATTTTAAGTATTTGGAATATGATTTAAATGAAGTTTTAAGAATGTGATTTTTATGGTGAAGACATGGGGTCGGGTTAGTGTGATGCACTGAATTGTTTGACATAACATTTATGCACAGATAAAAAAAAAAACCTGCTGAGATACCACACTGATGGAGTCGGGTTTTGGTCAAGAATCTTATGAACAGCTACTGAGGTGATCCAAAAAAAGAACAACAACAACAAAAAAGAGACAATTGTGGAAACAATAACTGCCGTCAGTCCTTCACATCAAGTCAGGACGACAGAAAACAGGGACAGGGTTCAGAAAGAGAGAGAGTGTGTGTGTGTGTGTGTGTGAGTGCCAACTGGTTTGGAAGAAATTTGCTAAATGAAATGTATTGATCAACACCACATGATCACTGTTACTGAGGACGGTATAAAAAACACAACTGCACAACAAACATCAGCTCTGAAAGAGAAAGAGAAAGTTTTGGGTTTTTTTTGCAACAGTGGATTCATGAATCAGTTCCATCCTTTAGTTTAGACCTGAAGCTGAACGCTCTGTTATTGGATGGTTTGGAGTTTTGGTGTCACCACAAACTTTTAAATATCTCTGTTTAAGTTTAACCAAAGTGAGAAATCCAGAGCAGGAGTATAAACGTCCCGACATGTGAATCGTTTGTGTGGAGTGTGAATTCACCTTCCTGTTACAGGAGAGAGAACCAGGAGGTCAA